GAGTTTTTATATACCTTTCTTCCCACCCTTATTCCTTCCAGCACTCCAACACCAGGTAGGAGAAAGAAGGTTAGAGAGGAAAGGGGGCATAGGTCTCTTTAAACTACTTCCTGTTGAATTAGTTCCTTCGGGCAAGTCCAATCTTAGTCTAGTCAGGGTATCTCCAACTTCTTGTTTCGTTTCTCAACAGCAGGAGCCGGAGCAGGAACCATCAGGAGGAACAACGTCTCCTTCAGAGCACCTCCTCTATTCTTCAGAGCTCTCTCTGGCCTCTGGCATTTATACCCTCTTCATAGTCCCCAGAATTAAGCTATCTGCAGCTGGCAGAATTAAACCCCTGCCAGAGCATGCACAAGTCAAAAGTCTGCAGCTGTGGATGATCTAGGCAGCCTCATGTTTCACACCTGGAATTAAAACAAAAACATGTTTACATAATCTAAGCTTTTAAAGAAACCAAAAGTCTCACTACACAGTCAGACGCACTTAAAAGTGTGAACATTCAGTGCGCATAATTCCATTACAATATTTGGGGGGTGAAATTGGAATTCCACTCATTCTTTCACAAGGATGGTCATTTAAGTCTACCAAGCCAGAAAGGGTGGATCACATTTAGGCCCCGCCCATCCTCCTCTTGCTTCAATCTTGGGGGCACCCTCAGGTCTTGTCTCATTCTATTGCCATCTTCACTCCCAGCTATCAGTTCCAATCCAGACCTCTCAGTGTAAGCGAATCAGGGCCTATAGGCCTAGCCTCAGGCCCTTGGCTCACAGTGACCTACCAGATGATTGGACGCTGGGTCTGAGCGGACCAATCAGAAACGTCGAAAATCAAGCCTTGCTTGAGAAGCGAAGCTTAACTAACCCGGGGCGGGTCTCCAGCCTGGCTGGAGTCTGAACGCGTGCTCCCCAGGAGGCGTCTCATAAACTGCTGGAATTCTACCGTGAAATCTCACATGACAACGATTTTTCTTTTTCTTTTTTTTTATAACAAAATATGCCAAACTTCTTTTTTAGTTATTTACACAATATTTAAGTTAACAAAGCAATGGGTTTCTCTCCAACACTTCTGGATATTATACTTTGTTTTAATGCATCTCACATCTTTCCTGATTGCTGTTCGCTGGTTCTTTTCCTGCCCTCAAATAAGGCCTCTCTGCCTTCTGGCCACAACTCTATTGCCCTCCCATTCCCCCATCTTACAACCCTCCTTTCCTTACCAATCCCATTTCTAGTTTAATCACGCCCTCCCTCTGACCCCCAACACATACAAATTTAAATCTACTTTTCCTATACGAAAAACATGCACTATTTGTTTCTGGGTCTGTTTAATTTTCCTTTGGATGATTTCCTTAGCATGATTTCTGGCTCCATACATTTTCACAAGAAATAAATTCATAATCCTTTCCTTTCAGAACCTATTGTTTTGAATATTGAGTTGACGTGTGTGTGTGTGTGTGTGTGTGTGTGTGTGTGTGTGTGTGTGTGTGTTACATTCCCTCGCAGCTCATTGGACGGCACGGAGTTGAAGGTCCCCTGGATAATCGATTTGGGACTTGGTTACCTACTGCTAATCTACCTGATGGGGAAGACAGATTCAGGGTGCCACACAGACCCTGGATCTTTGCCTCCCGTCTGATACTGCCATCTATAGGAGGTTGACCACAGAGCCTTGGAACAAAATCAGAAGAGACAGTGAGATGGAGCTACTTAGTGAATCTGATTTATTATGAGAAGGCAGCAGTTCAAATCTTTTCCTGTTTGTTTGGGAGTGACTTTATTTTAGCTGGGCGTGGTATGCAGCTGTAATCCCAGCATTTGGGGAGTGGAGGTAGAACGATCAGATGTTTAAGGTCATCCTCAACTACTTAGCTGGTGTGTGGGGGTTCATAAGAGAGGAGGAGAGGATATGTGCTTTTCAGTAACTCAATAGTTTGATGATAAAGGTCGGTAATTTCGTTAAAATCCCTAGCACTTCATTCCTGAGCTTCTTAATAAGAACTCAGAATCACAACTCCAGCACACTACTTGAGGAAACGGGGAACAGAAAGATTCTCTAATCCATTTTAACCCATCTGATCATAATCAGAAATCTGTGGAGATCTGGCTCTCCCATAGAAAGGTGTAAAGGGTAGTGTTTCTCTTTCACTTTTAATCTTTAATGGACCCAGAATGTGGAGTGCACTAAAGCAGGTAGCAAGAGAACCTCTAAAACAGCAGGGACACTCAGAAAGTGGCTAACAACTGTCAATTAGGGAGTCAAATCGTTGGGATGAACACCTTAACTTGATTAAAGAACATAAATACTACACGTGTTTACAGTGGGTTCCTATCGTTAACATTGCTAATACTTAATGATTTTTTTTTCCTATACTGGTCTCACTATGTAGATGTGGCTGTCCTGGAATTCACTATGTAGACCAGGCTGGCCTCAAACCCACAGAGATCTGCCTGCCTCTGCCTCCAAGAGGGAGTAAAGGTGCATCTCATCATGGCCAGCTATTAATGACCTTTCCTGCTTGCCTTATATCTGTGAGAGATATGTGATCCATGTAATTGTTGTGTGTGAAATACTTTTGTTGTTCTTAGGTGCATTTATGCATTTTTTCTTCTCCTTTCTTGTTTTTGGATTTTAACTTTCCTTTTTATTTTTTATTTTTTGGTATCTTAGATAGACATTACTTACCTGAGAGTCTCTTCTTTGTTTCTGTAGGCATTTATTGGTAAACATTTTCTTATTACTGGTATCCTTGCACCTTGTAGATTTTAATATATTGTTTTCATTGTCATTCATCACAAAGTATTTTCTAATTTTTCCTTAGTGATTTTACTATTTAGGCTATTGACTATTCAGGAATATGTAATTTAATTAGCATGTCTGTTTATAGAGTTACACTTTCTTTCCTGTTATTGATTTTCCATTCGACTGTGACCAGAGAATATACAATGGATAATCTCAATCTTTCTATAGCTATGGATACTTGCTCTATGGTCATCCAAATGGTCTATTCTGAGGAACGGTCTGGGCACACTTGAAAATAGGGATGGAACATTCCACAGATAGAGCTTCTGGTTCTTAGAGTCCTAGGGTGCCTTCGATTTCATTACTGATCTTCCACCTGCTTACTGGATCCATTATTGAAAGTAGAGGATTGAAGTCTCTCACTTCCCATTATTAACTTCACTCCTTTCAGTTTTGTTCAGGAATGTTTGGCTCGGCTGTTAGGGGCATATATATATGTATATAATGTGTATGTATATAATGGTATGTTTTCTTGATGAATTGATGTTTTTCTAATTATATAATGCTATACATAATCTCTTGTGACCATGCTTTTCATGTGATTTATTTTGTCTGTTTTTGACAGCTATTCTGGTTCTCTTTGTGGTACTGTGTGTGCCATGTCTTTCCCATCCACTAATTCATCCTATTTCTTTTTCCTAGCCTAATCCATGTCACTGGCAGGCAGTATAAAATCACATTATTTTATTTATTCAGTCATATAACCTTTAAAACGCATTAGCATTTAGTATAGTTGCTGATAAAGTGAGATTTGTATCTTTCATTTTGCTATGCATATATATGTAGATAAATTGCTACAGTGGTAAATATATATTAACATGTTGATTATTTATATATAGCTATTTATTCTCTTATTTTCTTCCATTACTGGTTTACTTTGTGACCGATAGATATTTTCTTACATATCATTTCAATTTTTAAAAGTTATTCATTTTTAAATGTGTTATTGTTAATATGCACTATTATTACATTATTATTAATTATGCATTATTATTACATGTGTGGGCACATGTGCTCATGACACATGCGTGGCAGCCAGGAGACATTAATTCCAGCATTTTCTGCTACTCTTTGCCACATTGAGCTGTTATCTACACGGGATGGTTAATCTTTATTGTCAACTTGACTGGCTTTAGAATCACTATGGAAACTACTAAGAGTGTTTCCTGAGAGCTTAACTGAGGAAGGAAGACGCGGCCTGAGTTTGGCTGACACTATTCCTTGGGCTGGAGTCTCAAGACTGGACGAAATGAGAGGAATGAGGCAAGCACCAGCAGTTTGTTTCCTGCAATGCACACAGTGCCTTTCCCTCAAGTGTGGACTGCACCTGCCTTAAACTATGAGCTGAAATAAATCCTTTCCTAAAGTGGCTTCTGTCTGGTATTTTGTCAAGACAATGAGAGTAGTAGCTAATACATCACCCATAACATGCTGTGCACGGCATACATCACCACACAGAGCACACTAACCATACCACATCACACACGCATCAGCTGCACAGATATACACACACACCTTTTCAAGTACGCGGTTAACACTAGTCTGAAAGTTACTCTTTCACTTAACATATGCTAGAAACTGTTATAGACATTTGTGATTCATGGGTGAATGTTATTGATTAAAAAATCATACCCATGTGGATTTTTCGTAATAAAAAGTCAATGAAAAGTGTCACAGAATTTAAAAAAAAAAAGGGAGTAGGGGAGGGAAATGAGAAGGATTGAGAACAACAGAGGGGTGCAGTTTTAAACAGTTAGAAGGAGAAGGGACTCCTCAAGCAGGCAAGGCAAAATTTATCAAGGCTATCTGAGGCTGACTCTTCCTCACAGAGAGCACACTCAATCCCAAGTGGGACTTTTGTTAAAGAGCTCCTACTGACCCTTCTCCATTCCTAGTGTCTGTACTACTGCATCTCCAGCTCAGAGGACCACATCCAGTTTCCCTGCTGAATACCTTGGATTCCTCTATTGGAGACGCTCTCACTGGTGTTTATCTAAGTTATTGCTGTGATGAAGCACCATGACCAAAGCAGCTTGGGGAGGAAAGTGTTTATTTGGCTGACTACTTCTACTACATTGTAGTTGTGCCTCAGCACTGATATGGTCTCAGTACTTCACAGTGCTGAAGAGTCTACTGTTGAGGTGGGAAGGTAGGAACCTGTCTAACATTTGCTTATAGCCTGAGTTGGGACAGTGGCTGGGATGAACTCCATGCACCCATTGCAACCTGAGGAGGACCCAGCACTGAGCACAAGTAACTATCATGATTATTGCTTTGGGGGACTCCAGAGTCCAAGGTTAACGCATACTCCATTCTATGCCCTCAGCCTCCTTTACCGGCACCTTTGAACCATTGTACATGCTTATTACTTAAGCAAGCAGGAACAGTATTTGCATACTTGCTCCATTAACCTTCGACTACAAATGTGGTCAGGCCTTGTTTGAATATGAATGAATGATTCATTTCCCTCCTTTCTATAATTCTATCTTACTTAGTGAAATCACTCTTGCTTGGATTTTGGAATAGAGAGGCTGAGTCTGACACCCTCTCCTCCAGCCTTTTCTCTGTCAAACACTGAGCACACTGGCATGTAGGTATCCCAGAGTGAGTGTTCTGACTATCTCCGCAGTAGTGGCTGCTGTTCCCTGGTCTATAGTCCTGTGTCTGATAATTGAACTGTATTCGTGTCCTGCAGAGAAGTGGTAAGGAGTAAAAGGGAATGCCCCAGCATGACAAACACAGCTGACTGGCTTGAAGAAATTTTATGATGTCAATGATCCACTGTGATAACCTCCCCTTTACATTACTGCCACCAAAGCAGTTATGAATCGATAAGCCACCTCATAATGCCAATGAAACAACACAGTTTTAGAAACCTTCGGAGTCTCAAGAGGGTTGGAAGTAAAAGCAGATATATCTCACAACAGAGCATATCTGGCCCTTCTGCACTCTTCTGGCTGGGTCACAAGAAAGTTTTGAACCTTGTCTCTAATTTGTTCCTTGTGTTAAGTACTTTATACACAGTTCCCTTTGTTCCCTTTTTTAAAAAAGATAAAAAGGTTCAAAAGACCAGAGCAACTTCATTGGCTATCCCTTGGCCTCCCACAGTGCTTTCAGCTGACTCAGCAGAGATTCCTGGGTTTCTGGAAGTGGCAAGTGCTCAGCAGAGCAGGATCCATGATTGTCTCCCTGGAGATGCAGGCCTGTGCATGCTGGAGGGAAGATTGTTATATGTGTGACTAATATGTGGATTGGTGCATGAAATTGAAATATATATATATATATATATATATATATATATATGTACAAGCATCCACGCTAGCGCCAGCTGCAGATTCTGCTCGCATTCCCAGCCATCCACCCCCTGTGGTTAGCTATCACAAATCCCTGTAAGTAGTGGCAAACTCAAAACTCTTGTAATTTATCAGTCAGAATTATATCAGTAAATTCTCAACCCACAAAACACCCACACAAAGAACTTAAAACTCAATTGATATAAACCCAAGCTACACACCTAGATGGGGCAAATGCACCCTACTTATTATTTAATCATCATCTAAGAAATCCCCAATACTTATGGCTCCCAGGACTGCGTAGTTCTGGCTCCTTTTCCTCTCCTATAGGTTCCATCTTTTCTCCTGATCTCTGTCTCCCTCTCTGTGCTTTCTAACTCTCTGACCGCCTTCTTTTTCCACTGCCTAGATAAGGCTCTAGCCTTATCTTGTGCCTGCCCTCACTTGCATACAGACAGCAATCCACAGGGTGGGACTTCAGTGGAAAGTGTTGCCTCCAAATAACAGAGTCCTCTCCCCTACAGCTCTGGAAAGATTCAGGACTTGGCCAGCTCTCACATTGGCATCTGCTTTTGCTTCTTGAATGGCACAAGCAATCTCAGAAAATCCAGAATACAGGTGAATGAAGCTTAGGTCAGGCCAGGCTGCTGAAGCCTTTGAAGTGGTCAGGGGAGCCCCTTTGCCAGGAATGTGATGTCCATTGCAAGAAGACCCAGCTATAGCCCATGGGGTCAGTATCCTCCCTTCAGAAGAAATCCTTTGTGGCTCTGTGTCTTGGTTTTAAGAGAAAGGCAGCCTGTTTGGCAAATTCAGTTGAACTTCTGTTTTAATTCTCTGTCTCTGTCTCTGTCTCTCTGTCTCTCTGTCTCTCTCTCTCTGTCTCTCTCTCTGTCTCTCTCTCTGTCTCTCTCTCTCTCTCTCTCTCTCTGTGTGTGTGTGTGTGTGTGCGCGTGCGTGCGTGTGTGTGTGTGTGTGTGTGTGTGTGTGTGTAGAACCAGGATGGTTCTCAGAAGTAGCTGCCATCTTAGTACAGGAAGCAAAAAGTTCTTCTCTTAGCCTTCTACTTCCTTTGGTTGTCAGTGTCCTCCTGGGACATATCAGAACTATAGACTACATATCAGAACTGAAGTCTGGCCTCCTTCCCACTTTCTCTGTAGCGTAGGCTCTGACATGACACTCCCTGAGTTCACATCACCTGAACTTCTAGGAACAGGTTCCAGTCTAGAGAATCCCCTGATTCTTAAGGAATGTTGCTCCCCCTCTCCCCTTCTCAGTCCTCTTTCCAGTTCTCTTGGCACCAGAAGAAACCAATCCTTGGCAAGGCATGGTGGCACAGACTTCTGTAACTCCAGAAGGCAAAGACAAACAGATTAACTCATGTACCAAATCAGATTGATAGGCATAGAGGGTTTTCGGTTTGGTTTGGTTTTTGTTGGTTTCTTTGTTTCTTTGTTTTTGCAGTCAGGGCTATGTAGCCATGTCTCAAATAACAGACAAGAAATCCCACCAATAGATCAATTTTGATTGCCTCAGTTATATTTGTCATCCTCCTGTTTGTCTCTACTTATATTTTATTGTCAAGATATCTTGTGATCTTTAGGAGTAGTGGTTTAAGAAAGATTTAATTTTTTTTAGTCTGTCTGGAACCTTCCATTGACCACCTGAAAGTTTCAAACAGTCATAAAGTTTGCAAACTATTTTGTTAGATATTAAGAGAGTGACACTTGGTTCCTTCCTGGTCCCATTTGATTGGAGTACTCTAAGATAAGCCTATCTTTCAAACTATGATGTTTTCATGTAGATAAAAGACAGATGAGATTTGTGTCTTGATTCATTCAGTCAGCCTATATCTTTTCTTTAGAGAATTGAAGCCATTAATATTTAAAGTTATTGAAATGTATGTATTGATTGCAGTCTTTGTGCTGATTTTGGTTTTGTGTTCTTAGTGATATCTTGGGTTTTAACAATTATAGTTTTGTAGTTCTTTGTACCATCTCTGGGCTATGCTCACTCCTCTGTTCAGTCCCAAATATTACTTCCTATATTTTCTTTAGGTTTAATGTGCTGGCTACATACATTTTAGGCTGTTTATATCATCTATGGCAAACAGGTTTGTTGTGTATATTAATCTAAGTTGACTGGCATGGTCTTTTAAGACTTAGAACATACTGCTCTAGGCCTTTCTGGCTTTCAAAGTTCTCATTGAGTAATCAGCTGTTATTTTGATTTTTTTTTAATATGTGACTTGTGTCTCTTTTTTGTAGCTTTCAATACATCTTTTTTTTTGTTTTAACTATAGAACATGGGGATTTTCTTTTCTGATCTTGTCTCTTTTGGTGTTCTGTGTACTTCTTGGATCTAAATGATTATGTCTTTCCTTAGTTTGGGAAAGTTTCCTTCTATGATCACACTGAAGATATATCTGGTCTATGTCATCTACCTAGGATTCTCCTCCCTTATTTATTCCTATAATTAGATGGTTTGGTCATTTCTTGGTGGCCTACATTTCCTGTGTGTTCCTTTTCTGTGTTTTTATTTTTATAATCTTATGTCATGTCTTCTTGATCCTCTGCCTTCTCTTCAAGTCCTGGTATTTTATCTTCTACTTGATTCATCCTACTCGGAAGGCTTTTTTGGTGGGGAGGGGGAAGGTTTCTAGTAGAGTTATTGGGTTTTTCATGGGAATAGGGAAATTTTCATATTCTCTAGCTGAGTTCAACTTCTGAGAGGAAGCTATCTTGCCTCTGCCATTCTCAGCACTTGACACAAGGGGACACTGGACAAAAATGGACTGTTCTATATCTGGGCTATCATGTAGTCACCAGCTGCATGTGACAATTAGGAAAATAGAATGTGAGCGATAAAACTGAAAAACTGTACTTTAAAATGATCAAACTTTTATTAGGTTGAACGTAAATGGCCACAGGGGATAGTGGCTATTATGTAAACACAATGAGATATTTATGTGTCTTCTCAATTCTAATCAGTTTCTCTTTTCTAGAGACTACAAACCTCTAAACCCAGTAGCCATCCATTGATTGTATTTAAGTTTAGGTGAGGTGTACACCTACCACTGTGGAAAACATTTCTCTACTTCTGATTCTTCTGATTGCTACATTTGGAACCTTCTCAGGAAAAGGCATAGCCTCAGACTTTAGCATGATGAAGATAAGAAAGGTCACTTCTTACTCCATCTGCAAGGCCATGATGTCTCACCCAATGAGCATCAACTGTGGACACAGCTACTGCAAATCCTGCATTCAGAGCTATAATTGCAGTTTTAGCCCAAAGACAGGATGGAAGATGCTGGGGTGTCCTTTGTGTAGAACCTCAGGCCCAACAAGGAGCAAGAAACCATAATTGATATGATCAAGGGAATGGAAGACCAGGATCATGACCTGGTGTGTGAGGAACATGAAAAGAAGCTCAGTCGCTTTTGTGAAGATGACTGTCAGCTCCTCTGCTGGTGCTGTTATTGGGAGGATCGGCACAAAGGTCATAGCTTGGTTGATGTGAAAAATGTGTACCAGAACTACAAGGTAAGAATTATGGTTGACGGCCTCTATAAGTGTCCAGTCTAATGATCTCTATAAGATAAGAATTGCTATGTAATAAAGACCCATGTTCAGTCCCCAGCACCCACATCAAAAGCATGGCTACACCTTGTCTGAAACCTTAGTGTTGGAAGGAGCAAAGACAAAAGGATCAATGGGACTTGCTGTCCAGCATCTTACCTCTAAGTCCAGTGTGAAACCCAGCCACAAAAGAACAAGGCTGAGAGACAGAACAGGACAACCACTGTCTTCTGGCCTCTGTGTGTATGCACAAGCATGGGCACTCCTATACATGTGCATGCATATAATTATATCTCTCCTTCCTGAACACCTCTCTTTTTCATACATTCACACACACATACACACACACACACACACACACACACACACACACCATATCATACTATCACTACCACCACCACCACCAACGATAACAACAACAACAACCAAGATTGTAGAAGGAGAGACTCCACATGCAAAGTCATACCACAGGAACTTCCTCATCATCATTACCAAGGCAAGAAGCACTGTAAAGATAAGGGAGGTAATGACATAGGACTGACTCCAGACTCTTCCCATCACTTCTGATTCTTAATCCTAGACCAAGTGGTACCTACTATGTTCATTAGGAAGTTTATTTGGAAAGTAAAGGGTCAGAGGCACCGAGAAGATCTGGTACTGTAAAATAAAAACATCAAGGGGAAATTTCAATTATCTTCATAAGGAAGAGTGTGAGAAAGCAGGTTCAAACAAGATTCCAGAAGAGTCAAAGATTTGAAAATAAATGCTTGTGGTAAGTTACGCAGTGGGAGGTATGCCATGACCCATACATCCTCCTTTGAGAGCACAGGGCCTTCTGCTCTGACACAGTAAGAGACATGGTCAGTCTTGCTGGTTTGAGATGGTTTTATTGTGTTTTGTTTTGATGCAATATGATTTTTAAGACAGTGTCTTTCTACATTTCGGTGGCTATCCTGATACTCACTATGTAGTTCGGACTGGCCTTGAACTCACAGAGATCTGCCTGCCTCTGGCCCCAAGTGCTGTGATCAAAGGCATACACCACCACACTTGGCTGCTGTCTTGATCCTCGTCTATTTTTCTGGCTCCCAGGAGAACTTACTAAGTGGGCTCCTCATGCTCTATTCTGTAAAGCAGGCATGGTCTCATATAAAGGCCTCAAGTCTTCCGTAAGGATGGCTCAGTGCCAATTGCCACTCAGCACACTCGGCTCCCTTCAGCCTCCCTCCAACAGCTGCAGTGCAGAAATTTCTATTTGAATGATTTAGAAAAAAATGGAGCAAGGCAGGATGACAGTTACCCTCCACAGATTCCGACTGCCAGGGTGAAACATCAGCCTGGCACTCAACAGACAGATAACTGTGCTGATTCGCTTAAAGTTTTCCCATCTTGTTATCCCTATCTGTACACAAACATGATAGCATCCGAATCCTCAGAGCATATGCTGGGAGTTCTGTTTGCTTTATGAGTATTAAAGTCTATAAAGTTTAGAACAGCATGTGACACATAATAATGGCAATATTTTGTTTTTCTAAATCAGTCACAGACTCTTTTGGAGGATCTCTTGGAAATTAACACGTACACACCTGTGGAGTTACAAAGGGCGGAAGTCATTTTTTTTTTATCTTTTATCATTACAGGCAATTTCTGGTAGCCTCAAATTGTTCCAAGTGAAAATATAAGAAGCCATGTTAAGAATTAATCTGGGGGCTTGGGGGAGTAGCTGGACAAGGACACTAATTCCTTTAAGTTGGTTTCTTGATGACATCCTCCAGACCCCTCTTCTCTCCAAACTCTAATAACTTCACTTAGTATCCTGGACTTTTCTTTGCAACTTACACATAATATATACTGTGGTGGTTTGAATATGCTTAGCCCAGGGAGTGGTACAATAAGGTGATGTGGCCTTGTTGGAGGAAGTCTATTATTGTGGGTGTGGGCTTTAAGACCCTCATCCTAGCTGCTTGGAAGCAAGTCTTCTTCTGTTTGACTTGAGTACAAACTGTAGAACTCTTAGCTCCTCCACCACCATACCTGCCTAGATGCTGCCATTCTCCCACCTTGGTGATAATGGATTGAATTTCTGAACCTGTAAGCCAGCCCCAATTTAATGTTGTTCTTATAAAAGTTGCCTTGGTCATGGTGTCTCTTCACAGCAATAGAAACCCTAACTAAGACACATATAGAGTTCCAGATGTGTCCAACATCTCAGTATTGGCTATGTTTGGTTCAGCACACTATTTTATAAACTCTTCCTGCAAATAGCTGTGGCAGTCTATAACAACTTTCCCCAAGTGACATGGTTTGGCAAATGACACTGGAGTCTCAGTTTTACACTTGAGACTCCCAATTACCCCTCCTAAGGTGAGTTATTTGACCCCTTTCTAAACCTCATTTTCCACAGCACAGCAAAGATGTTAAGCATCCTACCAATTGCCCAGAATTGCTAAGGCAATTAGTAACTTACCACATACAAAACCCTCAGCATGCACTCTGAGAGATATCTGAAGAGCTCAATGGCTATTCATTGTAATTTTATCACATTTTGGAATGCTGAGATTCATTTTAAGTGCCTAATGGAGAATCAAATTGAGGGTGAAGGATATAGCTCAGTTGGTTGTGTGCTTGCTTAGCTTTCAAAAAGCCCTGAGTTCAATGTTTGCCAATACTGTGTAAAACAGGATACAGTGATATATGTCTGTTTTTTGTCACTCAGAAGGTGAAGGCAGGAAGTTCAAGGTCATCTTAGGATACGTAGTGAGTTCAAGATCATTTTGGTCCTCGTCAGACCCTGTTTCAAAATGTAAACAAGATTGATAAAAATTGATTTTACTCACTCAAATTTTTCTTTCAGGAAAAACTGCAAACACCGTGACAAAATTTCATGAACTCCAAGAGAATCTTGAAGTTCAAATACATTTCATAACAAGCCAAATAAATGCCTGGAAGGTTAGAGTCTGAGTTCAGTGGTGTTGAATGTTTTTCTGTAGTGAGTCTAGGCATAGTGGAAGACAGGGACAAATACAGGGATGGCTGTCTCCTGCCAGTGCCAGCTTCAGCACTTCCCCAGCAGCCTAGCAGGCTGGCACTTGCCACGGCAGCACTTTCCCCTTCCCTCTCAGCCACCCCTTCCACCTGACCCTCCCAGAAAGGTGGCCAGAGCCAAAGGCCACCAATCCTCACTCTAATAGCACCCACATCCTGGGAAGAATACTATCAGTTTGAGAACAGATAAACAAACACAGCGCAGCAGTCTCCATGCCTCCTGAAGCTGGTACCCTCTCTGATGGACAGCCAAACACTCCCCAACACAGGTGGCTTATGGCCTTGGGAAAAGCAAAAACCATACATCCTTTGAGATAAATCATGCCAATTAAGAGTTCCCAGGCAGCTGTGACTGGTTTGTAAAAACATTATAGCTTCCCTTATCCACCGCTTCCCTCTCACTTTTGTAATCTGCTTGTATATATTCCCTACACTCCTAGATACCGGGCTGCAACTTCACTTTGTGCAACTTGTGGTCCAAACCTGGGTTTGAAATAAAGGGCTCTTATGCATCTGTACAGCAGATATGGTAATTCTTTGAGATCTCTTGGAGGTCCCGAGACCTGGGCATTACAAATACATGGGAAACCTAAAGAAGAGAGCACTGCTTTCATGTCCTAGATGTTTACATCTGTGAAACTTTGTCACCAAGTTCTTCCTTCTGCCAATAGTAACTGGCTGGGATTTCTGATGATTTTGTCAAAAGCTAAACTGGCTTCTCAGTTTCTTTGGACTTAGACTTGTCTTTATGAAATCAACTTGTTAGCACTGCACTTGAGTGTAATGTACCAACATCCAACCCTTTGTCTCATGCTTACTTTACATTCTAGGACGTATGTAAACATCCATCTTTTCTTTGTGGCCAAGACTTTCACTCTTTCTTTAAAAAAAGATTTTATTCAAAAAAAAAAAAAAAGAATGTATATGGGTTTGTGAAATACAGGTACCCAAGGATGCCAGAAGAGTGTACCAGATCTGGAGCTAACTGGACAGGTCCTCTCTAAGAACAGTACTTACTCTTAACCATTGTGCCATCTTTCCAGTCCTAAGACTTTCATCTTTAAAACTGCATGCTACTTATTTACTCTGTGGCACATTTTGTTTCACATATTAACTGCATTAGTCTGGTACTCTGGTGTCACCACTCTAGAGGCAGTGGAACATGGACTTTATTTAGAGGATCAGATAATTTTTATTCTGAGGATTAACCAAGGTCTTATGAGCAGAGTTCACATGCATTCAAGCTTTATACAATCACAAGGACAAGGTGTGCCTGGAAACACTATCTGAATAGCAATAGTAAGATAATGGGTAATCTGGAGTAAACCCACTCCTGTTTACTACACCTGAGAGGGGCATGAAAGTACAGTCCAAGAACAGCCCTGTACTTTGCAAGGCTAAGGCCACCAGACTTGTCCAGTTTTCTTGGAGTTTTTTGACAAGCACACATAATTGTTATAATACAGCTTCAGTCATGGGTCATGTTCCAACCCTCAGACATCAACATTCTGACTAGCTGTGTTTGTCTGAATCCAGATGTTAGCTTCACCAGGTGAGAAACCAACCTTTGAGAGAATTCATCAAGCAGGATCACCCCAGGCTGAGTATAACGAGGGCAGTAAAAGAAACCTATGTGACTTCTAAAGCCCATGCATTGTGCTATAAAACCTGCACACTACAGATGCAGGATCTCATAGGGCTTCAGCCTATTTCCATGGCTTCTTGAAGAGGCTGCCCACATATCTGAAGTACATTCTTTCTAGAAGTATCTAAATTATCCATTACTTAAAAAAAAAAAGAAAGGCATAACTTTACTCTTAGTCATGGTAGAAGAGGTTTATCATAGATACGAGGAAGAATATAGCCAAAGACACCTGGGAGAGTCCAGCGTGAGTATGATCCTGAGCCAGGCCATGTGAGAAGATGGGGAAGGAGAGAATCAGGAAAATAAAGGGTAGACACAAAGAGCCAGGTAACCAAAATGGCTGGATTCTATAGAGGGCAGCCCACCCCCCTCGGCTGGAGAAGTTTAGAGTAGGGAATGGATATACCAGCCACATCCTGTAACTGGTAAAGACCAAGGGATTCTGGGAGATTCTGGCAGCCAAGTCTGCCTTGATATATTGATAAATAAGCACCTCAGCCATTCATCCTGGGTTTGAGACCAATTACTACACAGTCAATTTCCACAGCTAGTGCCATTTCTTCCTTCTGCTTCCTTTGCATATGGATGTTTAACTTGAACTTCCAAAGCATGTAAAAAAAATGTGTATCTTTTTATAGCTGATAAAGTATTTGAACAATGCCCTCCTTCTATAATTCAAGTTTCCCAGGTTCCTATCCCATGTTTCTTCCATATCTTAGTTGAACCAGAAGAAAATTAATCAGTAGTTAAATCTCTCCCCACACCTCTGACTGTCAAGTAAGAACTTCTGGCACTTGTCCAGCTTGAGTGGCTCATTGTGAGTTTATCAGTGTAGCTGACCCTGCTTGTGGGGGTTAGGGAGTGGGGGAGGTATTACACATATAGCATAAAACTTGCTTTTAGCCATTAGCAGCCGCAATTGATTACAGGTGAGGACACTAAGGACATTGTTGCTGTTGTGTAACCGTCTCCATCATATTCACTTTCAGAACAGTTTCCTACTCTTCAAATTGAAACAGGAACTGTCCACTCTTCCTGTCTCCCAGGGCCTGGTAATCACTGTGATTTCTGTGTCTCCAAAATTTACCACTGCTAGTGCTTTGTGTAAATAGAAGTATTAGTTCCCAAGTTTTGAGCTTATTTCAGTTAGCAGGATGTCATCAAGCTTCCTCCTTGTATTTTATCTATTTGCTTGTCAATTCAAAGATAGGCATGTTCCTATGCTTTGAGTATTTTGTTCTTGTTGTTGTTGACTCCAGGATGCCATAGAGGATTGAAGGCAAACAATCAAATCTAACTTTAAGAATCTCCAGAGTTTTCTACAGGAAGAAGAGAAGTTTTATCTTTGGAAATTGGAGAATGAGGAAAAACAGACGCTTGTTGCAGCTAAAGGGCAGCGAGGTCAATACACAGCAGATGTATGATATGAGAGATCTGAGTGCCAAGTTCAGGAGCTGGAGGCAAAACGTCAGGGCTCAGCCCAGAAATTGCAACAGGTGAGGCTGTGTGCTGAAGTAGGGACAGAAGGCAGGTGATTCTGACAGGAGGAGGGGTTTGGTAAGGAAGCATGGAGATTGGCGAGGCCTGTCTCCACTGAGAATGGCAGTAATATGGGTATGGAAAATTTGGGTTCATATTCGGGAAGCATCAGGATGACTTCCACTAGTCTACAGGATCCTTTAGTTCAATTAGAAAGCATAACTTACTCTGGGTGAACATGGAATTACAAAAAGGGGCGTGATTACTGCTATCCTGCTCACATTAGCTCATTCGCTGAGGTATCTTTCAGACTTATTCTTAAAATATGCTTTCAAGTGACAGATGGTGACAGTGTAGACATATAAGAGAATAATAACTACTCAGTGATCTGCTTATAGTGTCCCTAATCCAGAACTTACTTACAGCTGAATGACTGATATATCCATCCCATCGAGATAAATAACTGGAGCTCTGACTTCTTTCTCAGCTGGTGCTGCTCGTTATGCTTAAGGTTGAGAATGTGGCCTATATGTTCCACTTCTCTGTGGTATATGCTTAGCCCAGTCTTAGGAGCTGTGTGTAGATTTACCACTAGAGACTTGTGTTATAGGTTATTTCTAACAAGAATTCTCTGTGAAGGAAATTTAGTCACTGGAAGCAGTCCTTGCCAGAGGAAGAATGAGCCCAGCTCTTGGTTTTTATTTTAAACAGCCCTTGTTGTAGGAGCTTCAACAATGGTGGAACAGGCTCCCCTTTTATGACAGACTGGGTTGTAAACATTCCTCAGTGTCTATTACATGGAAGGATAGATGTTTCTTACTTCTTCATTGATAGGAGTGTATTCAGAGAGTAGTTGTACATGGAAAACTCTATGTAACTGATGTAGAACTGATGTAAATATAATAACCTTTTGGTTTTTTTTTTCCATAGGACATGAAAAACATTTTGTGCAGGTAAGTCCTGCAAGAATACCCCAAAGAAGGACTGGGGTCTATATAGAAAGCTGACTGGAAGGTAACATTGAGAAAAGCCCTACCTTTTGCTTCTCCTAGGTGCGAGGCTGTGAAGCTAAGCCTGCTGAAGGCTGATTCCCTGGAGGTTCACACTAGATGTAATGTGTCTGAGCTTTACTTTGATGTGAAGACGGTATTAAGATGTTACCAAGCTAGCGGTGCGGACTTAGGGATCCCTACATGCTACAGCTGGGAGAATCTTAAGCAGGAGCCAGGCTCATCTCCAGCTGCAACATTTATTCCCTTATTACTTTTTTACAGTTATCTGTCGGTATCAGCACAAATGTTTAGACTGTAGTTATGGATTATGCCAGTTTAGTAGAGTGGTGGTTGTGTGTTCTTCCCCGAGATTCATGATGTCACTGGCATGGAGTAGTTGGCTAGATTTCCAGTACCAGGAATTGTTTCTCTGTTGTTGAGTGCATCTTAAGTCCAGTTAGAGAACTGTTGGTTACCTTCAAAGTATGTGTGCCACTACTACACACATATGAAAGCTTACATGACATCTTCTGGTGCTATGAAAGCTAGTTCTTAGAGAGAAAGCAGTCAGGTCAGTTCCAAACTGGGTGACTCTGAGTCCGTGTCTGAAGTAATGGTGCCTTCAGCAATAGGGACTTATCTTCCATATCTGGGGGACAACAAAGGACAATAGTAATAAGTTGTGTGTTTTGGAAATCTCTTGGACAACCCTGAACAACAGCTCAAAGAGGACTTCTCATGTCTAGTGTTAGTGTTTTTGCTAGATCTTCTATGGCTCTTGGAGGAAGTATTGTCAGTCCCAATGAAGAAAGTTCACTTAAACTATGTGTGTATACATACAGAATTACTTGTGTGGTTTTTTATATGTGGGGTTTTCAAAATATAAAGATAATTGATATTACAATTTCTTATGATTCATTCAGACTTCTTTACTGTTATTTTACTACCCTTCTTCTGTATTTATATCCCTCATCCCTCCCCAAAAAGCCCCCTTTCCTATTTCTCCAACCAGATCACTTATACACTATTATTTATTTCCCTCTCTATTGTTCCCTAATGCCCCATCCCAGAAATGGTCCATTTTTGCCTTTCCTGGTTTCTGCGGTTACTCCAGGATATGTACTCACTTCTGAAGATCTGGTTGTTCACTTATCTTTTGAGACTGTTTCACACTCTTGCTTTCTAGTATTTAGCATGCTTGGCATCCTATGCACACAGCTCCCTTTACAGACCCTTCAAAGTCCTGCTTCCATTATGCCATAATCTCTGCAGGCAATTCCAGTCTCTCAGTTTCTCCATGTGAAGAAAAAAAAAATAGGTCACTCTGACTGTGGGCAGCATCATAACAGGGACTGGAGATTAGAAACAAAGAACAAAGAAGAAGGAGAAAAGCAAACCCAGTACAGGCCTTCCTTCCTCTGCTCCCTGGTCAGTGCAAGGGACCAAAGTATTCCCATAGACACGCCTTTCCACTAGGATGTGCTGCATTCTTTTGAACTTTGGAGCAAGATAAAATTCCCCCACCCCCTTACGTTGCTTTTCGTCAGATATTTGGTCACAGTAAGGAACTGTGTTTACTGTACAGTTACAGTAAGTAACTGACATTCAATGTTTATTGTGAATAGTTCTGATTCATAGAGCAATGTTAGCAAGGCAGGTGTTAGTCTTAGTTACTTTGTCTGATGCTTAAATAAAACACCATGACCAGGGCAAAGTTAAAAAAGAAGACATTTAATTTAGTGCTTATGGTTTCACGGGTTAGAGTTCATGATGGCAGATCAAGGGCATGGTGGCTGGAATAGCTGAGAGCTTACATCTTCTTGATCTGCAAGTAGGAGGCAGAGAGGGAGACTGAGAATGGCTGAAGTCTTTTGAAACTTCAAAGTCTGTCCCCAGTGGCAAAGCTCCTCCAACAAGGCCACTCCTCCTAATCCTTCCCAAAGAGTTCCACTAACTGGGGGCAAACCATTCAAATATATGAGTATATGGGAGCCATTCTCACTCAAAGTACCACAGTAGTATGTAGTATACTGGGAATAGTTTTAGGGACTTTTCTCAATAACGAAGGAACATGTTAGAGACAAAACTTAAGTGCTACTGCTCCCGATGAATAAGCTTTATGCTCTGTTCTGTTACTCGGTGCTTGCTACGTCCTACAGCTTCTGGCCACGATTACTAAATTCAAATACCTCCAGCCAATAACAGTTTGGGAAAATTGTTTTGTTTCTCTTTTCCATGGTGATGTTTTTTGTTTGTGCTTTCTGTTTATTTGTGTTTTTTTTCTTGAGATAGTGTTTATGTAAAATGTAGTTGCAAACAAAGAGGGGAAGGTTGCCCCATGATTAATGTCAGCAGTCCTAAAAGTTCTGAATCAGGAGAGTTTGGGGCAGAACAGGAACCAGAGTAACTCTAAGTAGTTCTGATCCTTGGCATCTCTGAATGACCCATGATGCTGGTGGTCGAGATGCGGGTATTGATGATATTATTGCCATTGGTTACTGGGCATGAACCATATCCCAGACAACAATAACTCATTTAACTCTCTTCATGGTTTACAGTGATTTTTTTTACAGGCACTTTATACATAGTTTGCATAGCTAGGACTTACATGTTGAAATCATGCCCAGATATAATCAGAGTTTTGTCTTTGTAAAGTATTATATTTGTAACTCTTAAAAGACTGGTTATGGTTGTTTTATAGTCAGTGTGATCCTGGACCCCAGCACAACCCATCTTGACTTAGCTCTGTCTAAAAGTGGAAGACTAGTGACTTGCAAAAGATGCCACAGCAATCTTCAGGCTTCTGCCAAGAGGTTTTATGGTTTACCCTGTGTCCTGGGCTGTGAGGGCTTTACTTCAGGAAGATATTACTTTGAAGTCTCCATCGAGAAAGCAACCAGTTGGGATGTCGGAGTCTGTTTAGAGAATGTGCCGAGGGGCTTTAACATGAAGAAGGAGTCTGAGTTTGGATTCTGGACCATCAAGATGTCTGAAGAGGATGGCCTTGAAGCTCTCACTTCTACCCCAACTCTTCTCCTTCATCTGAGTAAAAATCCCCAGCTTGTGGGAGTTTTTGTAGACTATGAGGCTGGAGTTGTATCGTTTTACTGTGTAACTACTGGCTTCCATATCTTCACCTTCCCCAAGGCTTCTTTCTGGAATACTCTGAGGTCCATTTTCCATGTTTATCAACATTCTCCTTTGTTCCTGCCTGCCATAAATAATTAAGGAAAGAGGTCCCTATGCCTTAAGTAGCGTCATAGAAAATTTATAAATCCCACAAGGCAGAAACTTTGTTTTTCTTCACTGCTGTTCCAATGCTTCTAATAAACTTCCAATAAATGTGCACTGAATTAGTAACCCTTTCAAATGTGTTGAATATTGAATGATTCAAAACATACTGCACAGTCCCTGTGTTCGGACAAAGAATCTGAAGATAATTATTGTTTTCTGTTTATAGTGAGCACAGCTAAATTAAATCATTAGAAGTTAGAAGACCCACTTTTAATTTAGGCCACATCTCCTGCTGGAAGCCTATATAAAAGACATAGAAGAAGGAAGTTTGTTCTCTTTTTCTTTCTTCCTTTCTTTCTGTCCCTCCCTCCCTCCCTCCCTTCCCCCCTCTCTCTTTCTCTTTCTTTCTTTCTTTCTTTCTTTCTTTCTTTCTTTCTTTCTTTCTTTCTTTCTTTCCTTCCTTCCTTCCTTCCTTCCTTCCTTCCTTCCTTCCTTCCTTCCCTGCTTGCTTCAGGTCTCTCTGGCATATCCATTCCTTCACTGGCAGTTGAGCAGATTTCAATGTATCTTGAAGACCAACAGAAATATTCAGCTTTATTGTACTGAACAATACTGGATTTTTGGACTTTTTCTTGGTTGACAACCATGGTTGGACTAGCTGGGTCACAGTCTATAAGCCACACTAATAAATAAATCATACTTGTGTGTGTGTATACATATATATATACATCATACATACATACATACATACATACATACATACATACATAGTGCTTGTTAATGTCTATCCTTTATTCCTATTCTGGAAAAGAGGTATGGAGATTGAAAAAAATACCATTTTCTTCTACAATTAAAATATTGTTTGGATGAATTTTTTAGAATATATTTTTCAGTTTCCTAGAAAATTCAATAACCATGTTTCTCAATTTTCATTCCATCTTTTTTTCATAGTTTACATAGTCTACCCCAGAAGCACATAATGGAAAGCATGTTTGTGTGGTTTCACCATGCTGCTAGCTAACATGCTGACCAGTAGATGGCAGTCTTGTATTTTTGGTGGCTCTGGTAATACAGCTTTGACTTTAATAAAATGTAAATACTTCTTGGACCAAGATCAAATAAGGATAAAAGTCATCTTGTTCTTACAAAAGATTTTAACAATTTAAGCCAACAATGTTTTTTTGGTGTTTTTCTTTGTTGTTGCTTTTTGGTTTTGTTCGAAATAGGGTCTCATTGTGTAACTCTAGCTGTCCTGGAACTAGTGTTGTAGACCAAACTGGTTGTGAACTCACAGAGTTTCATTGGCTGGGATTAAAGGCATGCACCACTTGGCAAAAATATTAATTTTCAGTCAGAACAATAAAATTCATTCATTCTCTCTCTCTCTCTCTCTCTCTCTCTCTCTCTCTCTCTCTTTCTCTCTCTCTCTCTCTCTCTCCCTCCCCCTCTCCCTCCTTCTCCGTCTCTCTTTCTCTCTTCTATTAGATAAGATCTGATTCTATACCCTAAGCTGTTCTGGAGTTCACTATGTAGCCCAGGCTGGCTGCAAACTTATAGGACTCCTCCTGCCTCAGCTTTCCAAATGCTGAGTGTTGAGATTATATGTATGAACTTCCATATACAATTATAATTTTATTGACTGGTTGATCAATTTTAGTGTTTAGAAACAGGATCTCATGTTGCTGGTGTTGACACTAAGTAGCAGATGATGACCTTGAACTTTTGATTTTTTTTTTTCGTCTACCTCTTAAGTACTGGAAATACAGGGGCATCCCTACATCCAATTTATGTGATCCTGGTGGTCAAGTAGTGGGCTTCATACATGCTCGGCAAACATTCCACCACCTAAGTTATAATATATCCCTGGCCCCCTTGGTGGTTTTAAATGTCACCTCATGGGAGCCTTGGTTATTATTTAACTTCTATTAATTTCTTTTAATTTAGCAAGTAATCAACCTCATTAGTCAGGTTTCATCATTCCATCAGACTTTGGGGCAGCTCAGCTCTGTTACATTCACCACTGGTCTTAGTGAATAAGTCCAATTGTGGACTCATTCTGCCCTAAAGAGGTGTAGTTGGTCCTAAGGACCATTAAATTTACTGGTCTGATACAGAACTGTCCATATAGTTTATGATGCAGGGGCACACTGTTAATCCTATCAGAATGAGAATTAAGGGCTAAGTCAGTGCTGAGAACATAATAGTTAGCCAGGATGACTAAGAAGACAGAGACTAGTGTCAATTATCTGATTTATGTCTGTCTTTTTTTCATTTTGTGCTATTTTTTAAACCATAGTAGGACTTTAAAAATTCCTCTTGATCAATTAGCATAAAAATGACAAGTGTTTTTTTTAAACAGGTGTTTTATCTCATAAGAAGTACATCTAAATCTTTTATTCTAGGTCTTGATCAATTTGGGTACTTAGTTTGGGAAACATCAGAAGAGACATATTTAGTCAAACCATTAGTACATGCCCACCAAGCAGTCTCGGGGGCTCTTTATCCACACGAATTAACCCATATGGTAGCAGGCCTTAGAATACGGAGAAGTTGCCTAGGTTGAAAGTGTTGGATATTAGACAAGCTCCAGCCCCTTGTAGTCCTTTAACACTAATTTGTGCTGTCCCCAGTCATAGTGAGTTTTGTCAGTCAGTGGGCTGGCAGTCTGGTTAGTTCCTATCCCTATATAGTATGGGGGCTGAATGTCTAAATGTAAACAGCAATCGTGGCTTATTATTGGCTAGGATTGATTAATTTTATCTCTCCAGGGTCCCTTTCTGTGGGTTAGAGTTTGATGACCCAGATTGTTCCTGTTTTTTGAAGGCCAGAATCTTTTCTAAAAGGATTTTTTCAGGAAGCCTTAGTTTCATTACCTCACTTGTTACAGTGGAAATTCCCTGGTTTCTGGCAACTAGGGAGCCCAGCTACAGGGCATGCTTAGAATTGTGAACTCTGTATTTCTGTCTCAAAAGTTAAATTCCCATACCTTTCCTCTCTCCAATCCAGCCAGTTATTTAAAGTAGGCATCAATGAGGAAGGATCAAGGAGAGTATGGGCTGCTGGTCTGTAGTCAGGTTAACTAATACCTTCCCTGTATCTGTCTTCCTCACTTCCCAGGTCCAGGCCTAAGGTACATGGCATTGGAACATAACCCTGTATCCGTACCGAACACAAGTCTTAGGATAGGGTACAGAAGCAGGGAATGGAAGGGCTTGGGGATGCAGTGAAACTTCCATTTCAATTTCAATGAATCTATAGTCCATGGCTTTCAATTTTTTGACCTGGGTGTGGTGAATTTGTGGTGCAAAGCCAACTATATCCACAGCCATAAGTGTGGAGAGAGTCCACATGTACAGTCCTTTTTAACTTGGTTTCAGTGCTCCTTTGGCTACCTGCTTGGCCCAGACAGTATCATTGGACAAGGGGAAACTTGTGGTGGAATCAGAGGTCATCTGAGTGTCTTGGAGAGTCCAATTCATAGCCTATATGGAGGACTGGAGTGCCCCTAGTGACTTGAGAAAGGATGGTTAGAGAATCCTACCAACTGCTGGTGGGAAAGGTTGAGCCTGGGAAGCATGAGGGAAGTCTTCCAAACATCATTTTATAGGGAGTAAATCCCTCCCTATATGGGCTGCAGTGAGATGAAGCAAAATAAAAATAAATAAATAAAATTTAAAAAGAGAAAGAAAAAGAAAAAGAAAGGGGGAGGCCTACCTTCATATCAGTCATCCTTTGCTGAACTCAGAGTTTTTTGTTTTGTCCTGTTTGTTCTTTTTACCTGTCCAGAACTCTGAAATCTGTATGTACAATGAAATTCTTTATTTGTGTCTAAAGCTTTAGCTTTTAATTGAGAGATTTTTGACTGCAAAAGCCAGGCCATTTTTAAACCCGATTGCATAGGGGGAGGTCAAATCAGGGGACCAATTCCCAAAAGAGTTTTTTACAGCTACTATTTGAACAGGTTTGTCTGGGTGGGGAACACAGAAAAGGTATTATAAAAACTAGCAAGTACTTTTATCCTCATCCAGCAGGGCAGGTCTTGGTGAAGTCAGTTTTCCTGGGGTTTGCCAGGGTGTTGGTTCCTCATGTGACCTCCTTCTTGGGAAAGGGCTCCCTATTTTGGGTTCATTTGAGCACAAACCTGGGATCTGGCTGAGATATCTCACATTAGGCTGTCTAGTCTTGGTATAACATACTTTTGTCTGAGCAACTCAGAAAGTTTTGTCGACCCCAAATGCATAGCCTGGTGAAGATCAGTTACTAAAATCCTGTTTGTTGTTTCCTCCATCACCTTGTGGGATTTCTTTACCAGGGAGTCTCAGGCAACACGACAACACTTGATCTGATATACCATCAGAATATCAGTAGGTCCCACTGGTCTTAGGACCAGGTTAGCAGTTCAGCAATGGAGAACAGCAATTTGGAAGGGAAGTCAAATAGTCTCTAGTAGAGCCAAGATTTTTTAAATGTCCTTTTTCCCAGCAATGAGAAGCCCTCTTTCTCTATAGATAATACCATGGCATGCCCTGTAGTAAAAGCACACCAACTGACTGTCCATGTATATTATGGTAGACTTTGCTTTTCCCCATCTGAGAGTTTAGCTCAGACCACTTGGTTCTGCTCTCATAGCTGAAGTACCTGTCTTGGGCCCAAATGATTTTGGTTACAGTAACTATTGCAGTTCTCATGTACCTGATTTGTTTCATCTTTCATCTCGTGAGAGCCATGGATGAGCACCTATGTCATCTAGCTTAATTGATGGTGGGGTTTTTCAAATCAGACTCAAAGATGAGCCAGGAGCCTAGTGCTGGGTCACATAGTCATTAGACATCCAGAATTCTCATGCTCTTCAGTGGAGGGCCTTAACCGTGTCATGGGGTTATGTGAATATATCTTGACCCAGAGTCAGTCTTTCTTTCTTTCTTTCTTTCTTTCTTTCTTTCTTTCTTTCTTTCTTTCTTTCTTTCTTTCTTTCTTTCTCTCTCTCTCTCTCT